CGCGGCGGGGCGGGGATCACGCCGCGGCCGCCGGCCCCATCGGGCAAGCCGGGCGGGTTAAGCATTAACGGGGCCGCGGGGCGGTGGGGCCGCGGGGAGAGGGCGAATGGGGCCGCTGCTCACCCCGAGTCCCGGCGGATCGCTGGGGGCTCTGGCGAGCAAAGCGCAGCCGCTCAAGGACTGTTTTCAGAAAGGGCTGAAAGCTTTAATGTGCCTCCTACCGCCTCGCTCCACGAATAATTTCCCGTGAAATCCTCTAATCCTGTTTGGGCATTTTTTTACAGAGTCGTCACACATCGCAAATGTCATTTTTGCGGGATGATATCGGCGTTTTCCCGCGAGTCTCCATACCACTTCCCACCTCTGCCCTCCTGCAGCATCGGCATCCCACACTGCCCAGCATCCCCACGACCTTCGGTAAACCCCGTCCCTGCTCCCGGCTTTTCAGGGAAATAGGAACATATTTGTGGTTTTAGCTGGTTATTTATAAGCTCCTCAGAGGTTAAATGTTTACATGGATGCACATGTTTTATACAGATGTGTGTGATTCGTGTGGATGTGTATGGTTTGTATGAATATATGTTTTACACGATGTACATATTATAATTATGTGTATGATTTGTATGCACATATAGGTTTTATATGGATGTGTGTGGATGTGTAGATTGATGTGAAGATGGATGTGTAGATGGATGTGTATATGTTTTAAATGGATGAACATGTTTTATAATTATATGTATGGTTTGCATGGACTTTGTTTTACATAGGTGTGCATGTTTTATAAGGGCATGCATGATTCATATGGATGCATGTGTTTAATATGGATGTGAACAGTTTGTAGGGGAAATTATGATTTTTGTAATGAGACCTCAAGTGGGTGCTTGAACTCTGGTTTAGGCAACTGCAGGGACACCAGACCCCTCTTGTCACCCACTCTGCTGCAGAGAGCTGACACTGGAAGGGGTCAGCGTTCAGGACACTGATCATGGGGACGGGTCTCACTCCTGATTTTTGGCTCAGCTTCCTCCGTGCTCCTAAGTCCCACAGTGAACCACTGGGGCCCCAGGAGGCTTCTGAGACAGCTGAGCACGTGGGGACCCTGTCTCAAGGGGGACAGTCCCCCTCTCCCTGCAGCCTTTCCCTTCGTTTTGCACAGGGGACAGTCTGTGTCCCAGGGAGGGATGGAAGGAGCCCGAAGAGGAGGGAGGGGGTGGCAGAGGTCCCCCAGTCCCACGTGCATCCCCACGTGCTGATGAACCCACGGAGATCTTGCAAGCCTGGGAAGGGATCCAGCCCAGCTCTCACACTCCAGGAGTGGGTATCTGCAGAAAGGTTAATTTTTTTTTTAATTGAGAATTATTCAGAAGTAGCCCAAAATTTGCACCTTGTGCAGCAGAGCTCTGTTTCAGCCCTGGCTCTCTGCGGGGCTTCCAGCGTGCGTGTCTGTGTAAAGGGTGGGCTGGTGCTGAGGAGGGAGGAAGGAGAGGCTGAGGAGGCACCAGAGAAATCCTCAAAAGGGGGAAGGGCTGCTAAATCCTCAAAAGGGGGATGGGCTTCTAAATCCTCAACAAGGGGAATGGCTCCTAAATCCTCAACAAGGGGAATGGCTCCTAAATCCCTGCTGCCGTTCCTGCGCGGGGACAGATGGAGCATCCCGTCGGTAAAAGGAAAGTTCTCCATAGGTTTTGGGAAACCTCTGCGCATCTAAGCAACTTTAACACTGCAATGCTTTTAACCCAGAGGTCTCGGGAGAGCCCTGCGTTGCACCAGCCGGGAATCGAACCCGGGTCGCAAGAATGGGAATCTTGCATGATACCACTACACCACTGGTGCGCTGCCACCGCCTCCCCGCGGGCCGCCCAGGCTGGGCCCGGCCCCGTCCCGCGGGGTCCCACGCACGGTGACACGCGTGGGCAGCGGCTGGAACCCCCTGCACAAGCTGAGCCAGAGCCGGGGCCGCTGCCGGCGCTTAATGCCATGCAGGAATGTCCCGGCCCCACAATGTTTAACCGCGGCCGGCGCGGGAGCCGAGTCCTGCGGCTCTGGCATGCTGTGCCGGGGATGGGGGGATGCACACCCAGCTGCGTGAAGGGTTCCACGGGGTCCAGACCCCCTGTCAGCCCCCTTCCCTGCCTATGCCTGGAGAAATGCTTCTGAAAAACAGATTTCTTTTGCCAAAAATGAAAGTGAGCGCCAAGCCATGCAGTAGGGATCTCTTCTGTGAAGAAATTCTGGGAGAGGGTTCAGCCTGGAGAAGAGAAGGCTCCAGAGAGACCTTAGAGCCCTTTCCAGCACAGAGACTACAGGGGAGCAGGGAGGGACTTTGGACTGTCACAATTTTCCCAGGGAAGCTGTGGATGTCCCATCCTTGGACACATTCAAGGACGGGTCTTGGAGCAACCTGGTCTAGTGGAAGGTGTCCCTGCCCATGGCAGGGGACTTAGAACAAGATGATCTTCAAGGTCCTTTCCCGGCCCAAACATTCTGTGGTTCTACAGGTAAAAGCTTCTGTGTCTCCACCAGATTCCCACACTCCACGGGAGCAGTGACACAGTGACATTCTGCCCTCGGATGATGTGTGGCCCCATCCAAACAGTATTCCCAGAGCCACCACACTCCCCCAGCCTGGGAAGGACAGGCAGGAGCTGAGTCCATGCAATCAGTCTGGTAATGCTTCCCCTAGAGAACATCTCACAACCCTGTGGCAATGTTTAGCCAACACTGGAGCCTTCATTCCCCACCCTCCTGTTGGCCATAAAAACACCCCAAGTGTGTAGGTGCTCCCTGCCCTTCTGCCTGGCTGCTTTGGTGACACAAGGTGAGTGAAGGGTGCAGGAGTGTCACAGGGGTGTGGCACCTCAGGTACAGCCTTTTCTTGCACACCCTGCCCTCTTACCAGCCCAGCACTCCCTGGGTGGGAAGGGAGCACAGAACATCCCTGTGGGGTGCTGGGGGACAGCTTTCCCTCGCTTTTGTGCCGGGGGGTTGGAATTGCAGGGGTTTTAAGCTCTTCCAGCTCAGTTCTGTGATTCTGTGGAATTTGCTGAAGTCTCCTCTGCCAGCACACATGTGCTCCCAAGGTTCCTGGTGGGGCCAGGCACAGGCAGACCCAGCCCAGCTTTCCCAAAACAGAGCAAGGGACTCTCAGCATCCCCGTGCTGTTGGATGCACTCGTGCTTTGATCCAGACCAGGGGTGGGGGGGGGCTCAGCCTCACAGATCCCTGCAGTCCTGAGCAGCCAAAGGCTGTGGCTGCCACCAGCTCTGCCATCTCTGTGTGCTGGGGACAGGCTGTGGAGAGCCCCTGTGCTGTCCCTGTCGTGGTGACAAAACAGGCTGAGACCCATCTACATGGTTTGGCGCAAATGTTTTTTATTCACAGGAAGTTTGGGGATGATGGGAGCCAGCAAAGCCACCTGCAGCTGTTGACACTGACCCAGCAGACAGTGTGCAAAGCCACCACCTCAAGTGCCATCACCAGGGGTTTGGCTCAGCTGTGTCCTCCTCCTTGTGCCCCCAGGAGTGCTGGAAGCTGGTGCTTGTGCAGGGGACAGCACCATCTGTCACCTCCATCACCCCTCTCCCAGCCTGGAGATATGAAGGCTGCCTGCTGCAGGAGACTCAGGATCAAATTTTAATTTCAGCAGAGCTTGGGTAAGTGGGAAAAAGACTTTGAGGACATCCTGCCTGACAAAACCCACCTGCATTGAGCAGGTTTTGCCTACCTAAACCTGATCCTGTTCCGAACAGCACAGCCAATCCATTCCCTTCCCAAGCACAGTATTTAGCCCAGACCCTGCCCAGCCCAGCTTCTCTATGCCCACCCAAATGGCTCTGGCAAAGAGGCCTTATCCCATATTCTGTTAAATTCAGGAGCAGGGTGTTCCCCCTTTGGGTCTGGGGGAAATGACAGCCTCCTTAGTGGCTGGGTTGCACAAGGGGTGCAGCACAACACAGGGACAGGCAGGATCCTGGGGCCACTGCACTTTTGGGGACAGCCCCCTTTCCTCCAGGCTGTGACCTGTGCATCTTCTCCATGAGGTGAGTCCGTGCCAAGTGGCCATTCTTTCCAGGAAATCAGTTTTCAGGCTCAGAAAGGCCATCACTCTCCTTGAGCAGAGCATCCGGCTCCTCCTGGAGCCCGTAGTAGAGATCATCCTCCTTCCCGGGGCCTTTCCAGGGGGCTCGGGGCTGCTCTCCCCGCCCCGGGGAGCTGCTCGGGGGGCGGCCGGGGTGGGTGGAGCAGGGCAGGGTGCGGCTCTGTGGCGTGGGGCTGCCGGGCACGGAGCCCTCCAGCGATGGCGTGTCCATCTCCTCCAGCAGGGATGCCAGCGGGGCATCCCCCGGGGCTGGCCGGGCGGGGCTGCGGGGACAGGGTGACACCAAACACGGCTGGGCAGGAGCTGCCCTCCCCCGGAGCATCACCGGTCCCCTCGCTGGGTGGCTGGAGGGGCCTGGGATGTCTGTCCCTACCCCAGCCCTCGGTGCCTGCTTTTTTGGGGATACCTGCCTGCCAGGTTCCTGCTGCCCATGGGGTGAAGTAGTGGCTGTCCTTGCATTTCCTGAATCTACAGCTGGGATGGTAAAGCATTGCACCCATCCCAGCTGTAGTTACATTTCAGCAGGTGCCCAAGTCCTATGCCCTGAGCCTGAACAGTGACCCCAGTCACCTGCAGAGCCCTTTGGGACCTCCCAAATCAATGCTTGGGCATCATATGTGGCACTTGGTTTGAGGATGATGTGCTGTGCATCTCATTTCTATCAAAGTCTGAGCAGGAACTTTGGTGATATTCTTGTGAGGGACATCGTTTGTATTGATAAAATGAAATAAAAGCAAAATGCAAACATCAAAATGCAAATTACAACCAAAGGCCATCTGCATTTCCTCCGGGGAAATAATTCAGCTCAGAGAATCCTCGTGGGTTGAGACACCATCCCCACCATTCAGCGGGGCCAAGGGTGTGGAGGCTCGGTGTTGTGAGAGCAGCAAAAACCCCTCTGCACCCTCTCCCTCCCCCAATACTGGGGGTCTGGTCCCCCCATTTTCACCCCAATCCCGCAGGCCCCACGTACCAGCTGCCTGCTGCGGTTTCCAGGCGAGGTGCCGGCTGCTGGAGGGGCTCTCCCAGCTCCCGGTGGATCTCTGCTCTGGCTTGCAGGGCTGGCTGGGAGCAGCTGCAGGGTCTGGGCTGTGCCGTGCCTGGGGCTGGCACCGAGCTGAGCCCCTGCCTCTGAATCTGCTCGTAGGACGGTAGGCTCTTCTCGTAGGTGCTGCTGGCCTCTCGGTTGGGGCAGGGGGCAATCGAGCTGCAGGCAAAGGGATAACAGGGTGCTGAGCAGACCCGGACCCTGTGGAGCTGGGAGATGCTCAAGCACATGCACACAGGGCTCCATCACCTGAGGGAGTGGCTTTAGAGGCCATCAAGGCCATGTCACTGCCCACACCAGCAGCAGAGCCAGGGGATGCCTGCAGGAACACCACTGGATGTTCTACATCACTCGGGCACAGCCCTGGGAGGGGCTCAGGCAGCCTTTGCCTCTCCCAGCCTGACCCCTGCTTGGCATTTCGTGCTGCAGTGCCAGACCCTGCCCTCAGGGCACACACACCACTGCTGTGGGACCCACCCGGTGTCCTTCTGTGGCAGCACCATGGGTTTGTGGTCCAGGAACCGCTCGGCCTCGAGGTCCGCAGGGATGAAGGTTATCTGGGGGGAAAAGAGAGCAGAGCCCAGGGGCTGTGCTGGGCATCATGGAGACCCTCGGGCCTCACAGTGGGAAAGGGGCGAGAGTGTCCCTTCAGCTGGGTTTGGGGTCTTTTCCCACCGTATTTGGATGTGTTCCTTGGAAATGGCTTTTTTGAGGGAAATCAGAGAAGAATGAATGAATCCAGCAAAGCCCTGCTCTCAGTGCCTCTCCCCTGTGGAGTCACACGTGTCCCCAAGCCCAGAGGGAGTCCCAAGGCCCACACAGGAGGTCAAGAGGTCAGGGACCACTGAGGGTGTCCCATCCTTGAGCTTCAAGCATGGTGGCAAAGCCACATCTCCCTCCCAGCTGGGGCTGAGCTCGGCTTTGAGTGCTGCTGGTTTCTGCTCCACCCCAGTCCCAGAGAATACAGCTGCTCTCAGAGGCCCCAGCCAGTCCTGGATCCTGAGGTGGCTCCCCCACAATTTGGAGGGCAGCCAGGTTGTTGACAGGCCACCCAGCAGTGCCCAGATCAGTCCTACAGATGCCCTCTCCTTGGAAAAAGCCCTTTTCTGCCAGCCCCGTTTCCCAGGGCAGGGACGCGTGGCTGTGCTCCGTGCCGGCCGTGCCCTCTGCCAAGGAGACTGCCAGGGCAGGGCTGGGCTCAGGGATCCAGGACCCTCCGACCTCCAGGGCCACCACAGTCCCTTCCTGGCAGTCCTGGGAGCCTGCCAAGCCCTGGACCCCAAGGAAGGGGCTGCGTGGGAGAGATGAACACAAGTTTATTTCCTTGGGATTATTCCCTGCTGCCTCTTTGAAAGCAGAGCCCCAGGCTCAGGGGGTGAAGCACACAGGGCACATCCTGCAGGCATCAGCAGGGCACAAGCCTCCCAGAACAATTCCCCTTCCAGATTGCTGCAGCTGGCTTCCCCTGGGGAAACTGAGGCACAGCCTGAGGCTGCACGTCCACAGCTGCCAAAGCCCCCCAAACCCAGCTGAGCCCCGCAGAGTGCTCAGCAGCAGGAAGGATCTTACCTTTGGGTAGCACTGGCACATGCTCCATGTGATGCCCACGGCTACGAGCAGCACACCCAGGACGCAGAAGGTGATGTAGTACTGGGGCTTTTCCACGCTCATGATGAACATCCCCAGCATCACCAGGAAGAAGCCCAGGATGATGAACCCATAGCGGAAGGTCTTCTCCTCTGCCATGGGCTCCGGGTGGGGGAGGCAGCAGGAGAGATTTTGGGAAGTCGTTCACCTGGGCTGCTGCCTGCTGAACACACCTGCGGCGTAAGGAGAGGAGTGGTTTCTCTTTCCAGAGGCTGCCAGGAGCTGAGGATCAGCTGCACGTTGAGCTGGTCCTGCCCAGGGCTGAGCCAGCCAGTTTTTAATGGGTTTGTAATGAATGCAAACACTGCCCCACCGTTCACACTCCAGTGGAGCCACCCGGCACGTGTCCGGGTAACCTTCCCTGCAGGCACGCTCAGCCAGACCCCACACCTTGGGAAGGGACGGGGGGAACAGGGAGCACGGCTGCAGGGATGGGGACCCACGGCCCAGCTGGTGCTGTTGGGATTTTCCCAGCCCTGGGCACTGGAGCTGGACTTGGTCATAAATCAGAGCTGGCACAGCCCCAGCAAGGGGGGATGCCAGGGCCCAGCATGTTCTCAAGGGCTGCAGGGCTGCAGCTGGAAAAGAGGGAGTGCTCTGGGCTCTTTTTGGAGGCTGGGGGATTTGGAACAGACCCTGCCTTGCTCTGGCTGAGTGCTTAGACTGCCTCGCTGGGCTGTGAAGTAGGAAGTAAAGCCAGAAAAGGATGAAGTGAGGTTGGTCCACCCAGGGAGAGTAAAAACAAAGCGTCCCTGTGCCCTGTGCACACTTAAGTTCGAGCTGGGGTGTTAAAATGCATCTCCTCCCCACCACACATCCAACAGACAGACAGTATTGGTTTTATTCCCTCATTTTATTCCCTTGATACACCTGGTTTATGACAAATAATTGTATTATAAACAGTATGTCAGAGTGGCTGGGGAGCCACTCTGCAGTGCTGCGGGGCCACAGGGGCCCAGGGCAGCGCTGAATTTCGGTGGGATGCAGGAACTGGCAGCAACCCCTGCCACAGCTGCCCTTTCCTCTGGGCCAGGCTGCACCCCCAGCCGTGGAGGGCAGGGAGGGAGGGGCTGTGCCACTCGGGATGGCTTTTCTAGGAGGCTGCCTGACACGCCGAGTGCACTTGGATGCTCTGACCACAGGCACGACCCGCTGAGCATCTCTGACACCCAACGAAGTGAGGTGTGGGGAGTTGGTGTTCAGGGAAGCGAGGTGGAAGGGATGGAGACAGGGCTGGAGGGGCATTGCAAAGGCAGAGAAGTGAATGGTGGAGACAGAGCTGGGCTTTCTCTGCCCAAATTACTCGGTCTGTGCTGCAGATTTATTATTGAGTGGGCAGCTCCCAGCCTGACAGGAGCTCCCCAGGGTGAGCAGGGAATGCAAAGCCTCTGAAACCAGCCGCGGTTTTATTAAAAATATGAAAGCTTTCCAACATGCCAGCTACCCCCGACGCTCTGAACACATCTCCCGCAGAGCCCACGGTCCCCCAGCGCCGGAGGCAGCGCTCGGCCGGCCGGGAAAGCCGGGCTGAGCCTTCCCACTGCTCGCCCAGGCTGCTCCCAGCCCCGGCAGGGAGAGGCTGAGTTTGAAGCCGAGGGGCCGGGCAGGAGCCGCAGTCCCGGCCGGGCTGGCCCGGCTCAGAGCCCCCGCACGATGATGTTCTCGTAGCTGGGCGGCGGCGTCGCCCGCGGCTCCCGGGGCTGCGCCGCGTCCAGCCGGGCCGGGCTGGGGCGGAACAAGGCGCTGTCGGAGGAGCTGCGCCGCCGGCCGCCCTGCCAGCCCTCGTCCTCCTCCAGGTAGCGGTACAGGGGCGGCGTGAGCTCCTCCTTCCTCCCCGGCGGCTGCACAAAGGCCGGGGCAGCGTGGGCAGGTCTGCAGCTCAGGGCTTCTTCGTAGGTGGGGATGGCACTGGAGTCCCAGGTGCTGCGAGGGGAGAGGAAGCGCACGCCATCAACATCTCAGCACCCAGCTGGAGCATCCCAGCACCCCTGGAACATCCCAGCACC